GGGCATTCCTTGAGGCAGGTGCTTAGAGAATCACACTTTGAGAAATATGTCAAGAGGATGTCAGTATGGCAGACGCTTATTCTTCCCAACATTTCTATCTGAGAACTAACAAGGAAAAAAGCAGAATCAAACCAAGCTCACTTCACACAGCCTGATGGTCCTGTGTCTTATCGTCAGATGAGGGGCCATCAAAGTAGAACTTGGATGAGGATAATGCTCTTCCTCTTCCCCTGACAAGGAAGAATGATGATGGCTGTTTGTCTCTCTCTCTTTGGTCTTTGGCCATTCCAACCTCTCCTTAGAGTCTCTCTTTTCTGTAAAAATATCCAGGACTTAGAACTAAACTCCTGGATGGTATTCTTTGTATTTTATCAATATAGCCAAAACATTAATTTATGCTAGTGTGAAGGATTTGACCAGATACTTATCCTAATAAAATTGTATTATAAAGGAGAATCTCAAGGAGTGGGAATAGTATAGCCCTAACAAATGATTCATTAATGGAGGAGATTGGGGACCAACAAGGGAAGAAAGATAAACTTGCCTCGCCTCATCCTTCATCCCACAGTTTCCCAACTGACGTCATCTCAGTATCTCTGGGCCAGTTTCTGCCTCCAGGAGGCCCATGGTTCTGCACCATGCCAACACAGGTGCAAAACCCAACTAGTTCACCAGTTTCCACAGAAAAGTCATAGACATTATGATCTTTATAGACTGAAGGGTTGAGAAGTTGTGGGAAGGGGGTGATATTGTCACAGGAAAGCAGGGAGCTGAAACTCCAAACCTCAGTTCTTGTGTTCCAACAAAAGAAGATTTAAAGTCAGACACCAAAAGTCATGCAAGAGAACTTCATTCGAAATAAAAGTGAAGATAAAATCTAGTAAAAGAAAAGTGAGGCTTAAGCAAAAAGCACTCTCAAGAGAGAGACTGGACTGTCTCCAAGCAGAGAATGACAAAGGAGACAATGCTGTCCCCAATTTTATTACTGTTTGTTGTTTACCAGGAAAGCTTGGGACCACCTTCTGTACTCTTTTCCAATCAGGTGTTCAATTTCTTCATGTTGGATGGTGGAGTTTTTTACTTTAGTTGGTCCTCTCTGCAACTGTCATGATGGCCATCTTATTTATGGGCTTTCAACTACAATTCAATCCCATGTTTGCACTGGGGTCAATAGCTGCTCAGAAGTTACCTCAGTGCGCCTGTGCTACTGAAGGAATCTTCCTTCCCAGACAATTGGAGACACTTATAACCATAATTCCTAGCTTTACATCAACATCAATGAACCCTGTCAAGAGTTAGTCCCATTAATCCTTTTGTTTTGACATATTTCCCAATTAGTTCCTCTTGCTTCTGTTTATTTTCTACAAATTAACTGCCATCCTTTGCTTTCTTATCTACTTTGAAATTAGTTTAAAGAAGGACCCCAAAATAATTTAAAGAATACTTGTGACCTTGTCTGCATTTCATTGCTCATTGCTAGTTACTCCCCAACAATATCACAATCATGCTAGTTCCACAGCTCTCTCTAGGTAAAAACCAACCCAATCCTCAACCCAACCTGGCAAGGAAAAGAACCCCCCCCCACCTCTGCCTGGCAGCCCTGGGAACAGTGATCTTGGGCCCCTCCCAGTCCTTCAGCTTCTTCCCAGCCACCTATGTCCCTCCCGTATGTTGTAAACTGTGGTGTTCAAAAAATCTTCCTCATCTTCCTGCTGGTCCTTCTCCTCTCCCAGGCCAAGAAGCCAGACTGCACTGAACGCTTGCAGCTGCAAAGGAGACTAGGCTGTCGGACGTTCCATTGGTTTCTGGCCAACATCTACCCTGAGATGTACCCATCTGAACACAGGCCCAGGTTCTCTGGAAAGGCAAGGCATGACCCAGGGGAGCCCGGGAGGAGAGAAGGGACAGGGAAGCTTCTCAAGACAAGAACTGCACTGTTCAAATGCTCTTTTGTTGCCCTGAAAGAAGTCCCAAACTCAGAAGGGCTTCAGAGACCTGTAGTCCTCCCTGGTCTCCTTGCCAGCCTGAGAAAAGTATCTAGGTTGCCCTAGAACCTGCCCCAGGTCTCCTCACCAGGACAAATGTGGCCTGCCTCCTCCAGGAAGCTTGTCCCTTAGGATCTGTGGCTTTGAATTGATCTTACACATTGTGGCTTTAATAATGCACCTTGAGCTTCTGCCCAGAGAATGAAGGAGAGGAGTAGGGCCTGACAAGGGTATCTCTACCATGGAGATCACAGACAATGGGATTCACTTCTGTGTGCATGTCCACTTTCAGCTCCACAACACTGGATTTGGCTTCTGTGCAGACTGCCAAACAGAAGGGGACATCCTGGGCTGTCCCATGAGGCTGGCCCCTTGCAGTGACAGCCGGCAGCAACAGGTGGGTGATCAAACTTCTTAGGATGGATAGCAGCCCAAGGAAGACTTGCAAATGGGTGCTATTTTTCTAAGATGCGCTTCACTTCCCTCTGAAGTAGCACCTTTCTGTGGTCCCATGTCCCCCACAGTAATGACTCAGAATAGCTCTGTCCACCTCATCCTAAGCTGTAATCACAGACATGGGCTGGCATCTAAGAATGCATTGTCTTAGTTAGAAGGAAATGTGGAGGTTATTTAGCCCACTCTCTCACTTGGCAGACGAGAAAGCTGAGGCATAGAATCACTAGCTCAGGGACTGCAGACTCAGATGCCTCCAGGGGTGAGGCAGGTCCAACTGTCTAAGGACAGAAGAAGGTAATTGAGTGGGGGGAAGGATCTAAACGCAGCAGGGTCACACCAGCATCCAAGTAGGCCTCTTAGTCATTTGGAAGGTCTCCTTGTACCTTAGGGTATTTCTTACTCTCTTCAGATTTCTATTTTGAGAATAAAGCTGAAGGTGACAGAGAGCCTCCTTTGATGCTGAGGGTTGATGGGTCCACTTCTTTTCACAACTTGGATGACAACCTAGCAAGCATAGCCTGTCCCCAAGTGTGTTAGTCAGATTTGTGTCACTGTGACCGAACTACCCAACAAGAACAACTTAGAGGAGGGAAATTGTATTTAGGCTCACAGTTTCAGAGATTTAGTTCATGGTGGGCCAACTTGATTGCTTTGGTCCCAAGGTAAGGCAGGACAACATGGCCGAAGGGGATGGAGGATAGAGGCTGTTCAGGACATGGCCACCAGAGAGTAGAAAGAGGGAAAGGAAAAGAGGTCACAGGGAAGATGTACCCTTTCAGGACATACCCCCAGTGGCCCACCTCCTCCAGCCACACCCCACCTGCTCATAGTTAACCACCCAGCCAGTTCATTCAAACTAAGATGGACTGATTAGGTCACAGTTCTCATAATCTAATCATCTCACCTCTGGATGTGCCTGTATTAACAGGAGCTTTTGGGGGACACCTCATATCCAAACCATATAGTCAAATCTCTTTGCTTTCAAGCTGTGATAGGAGTTAAGCTATCATAACCCCCAAATCCCCTAGAAAACAAGCAACAAAGAACAGTCTCTGGAGGTATTCCTTGGATAAGTCAGCTGAGGCCCTGAGAGCCTGGGGTGAATGAGGGGACATCCGGAAGGTCTGGAGTGGGCTTTGCAGTGCAGGCCCTGGACCTGGAGGACACATAGGGAAGGAGAAGCTCAGGATCCACCTGGCTTCTTCTGACTCTTTCCTTTACCAGTCTTCCAGAACACACTGCTAGGCATTCACACCAGACACAAGGGACGAGGACATAAATTTAAAGTGCTAACTGAGGAAGCTAAGGGTGAGGATGACAACTGTCCAGACATGGCTGAGTTTGGATCCAAGTTCCCCATTTGTGAGCTGTGTGTTTTTGGCAGGCATGTTAACCTCTCTGAGTGTTGGTTTCTTCATCTGAAAGTGGGGATGATGATGCAGCCTCCTGCACAAAAAAAGAAGATTAGCTCTTTTCTGTGCTTTTATTTTGAGGAATCTAGGGAGGATTTCTGGATCCAGCAATATTGTGAACTAGATAAGTGGAAATTCCTTTTCTTAAGTATTTAGATATGATATGCTGGATTTTAAAAACATATGAAAAGCCCTTTTTTCACGCAGAAGTAATTGATTTTACAAGAAAGAAAGGAAAAATCTCCAGGGACAAAAATCAAAAGGCAACTGAACATGGAGTCACAGGGATGGGCTGAGCCCCCTGCCAGGTGGGAGGGCATGGTTTTCATCAACCTCGGAAATCCAGGGGTGTGAGCTCCCTCATGCAGCCCAGGGGAGATGAGACAGTGGAAATGAGACTCCCAAATAAAGCCAGCTTTGACCTTCACAGAGGAACTTGTTCTTGGAAAGTTGTAGAAATATCCACCCCACCTGACGCAGGGAAATGGCAAAGAAAAATGTCACCATAGGGCATTTGAGTAGGAAAAAATTACTCTCCCTTAAACATTGTCCACAAACTTGCCTCTAACGTGTGTTCAGTGTTCAAATTTATGCTGACTGTGTAGTCTGAGAAGGCTTCAAGTAGCTACTTGATTTGCAGGGCCCAGTACAAAACAAAAGTGCGGTATCTCTAATTTGACAATTATTAAGAATTTCAAGACAGTGATGGCAGAGTATATTAAACCAAGATCATTAAGCCAAGCACAAGACCCCAGTGACTGCATTGGGGGTTGCATCCAGCAAGAGCAAACAGAAAATGGTTTTGTCAGGTCATGTCTTTCAATTAGTCTACACAGGCTTAGTCTACACCGTTGGAGCCCCTCTGCAAGTGTATAAACAATCCAATACTACAATACTACAATACCTACGAGTGAGTCAGCAGATATCATCAACAGTAGAGTTTCAGGAGCAGGTAAGCCCTCTCCAGAAAGAGGTCAACTTGGGTATCAGAGAGGTTCCTCCTCTGCCCTTCCAACAGCACACTCACAAAACACACGGCATTCTTTATTGCTTTACCTATGATCTAGTAAACAGAACAATGGAGAAACATGCCAATGTGGAAGTATGAACAGGAGAGCAACCTGAAGGTGGGGACTTCAGAGGTCAGGGCTGGGCTTGCAGCCTTGTGGACTTGACCATGAGATACAGTCCTGCAGACCCCAGTAGAATCCAAGGATGGCCCCTATATGCCTGTTCTATTGTGAGTTCTTTTTGCTTCATCTCCACCTCTGAAAGAGTCTCTTGCTAGCTGTGCTGACAACCATTCCCTCTGTCCCAGCACCTGGAGCACACCAGCAGGAAAGAGATCCGCGCTGGCAGCCCACAGCACCTATGCCTCGATGTCAGGCGAGAGCAGGTGATTCTTCAGAACTGCACAGAGAATGGCTCTGCCATTCACCAGCAGCACTGGGACTTCCAGGAGGTGAGCAACGCATTTGGGAAAGTTCAGCAGTGCTGCTGGTGGGAAAGAACTCCCAGTTGGCACTTCCCAGGCTCTTCCAAGAGGTCAGGTGTTACATAAGGCCTCTGAGGGAGGTAAAGGCAACTCATCAGGGAAGGGTACTATTGAAACGTACAACCAGCATCACTAAATGTACCACTTTGCCCCATCTCCTTATAGCCCTGCCTTGATTAAGGGGGAGAGACGAATCAGCCCTTTTTTTTTAAAGTTTATTAGCTCAGGTCACAAGTACAATAGTGGAGAACTGTCAACCACCTTGGAAGTGTAGTTTGGGAACTAGGAAGAGTCCCTCTCTCACTTAAAAAATAGTATAGACATAGATGTATAAACATCCCTTTCTTCATTTTAATGTTAATTTCATTATGAGCATTTCATCCTTGGGCAAAATTTTGACTTCTGTGATCTTTGGTGAAAGACATTCTAGACCTTCA